ACTGACTTAATTATTAAGGAAGTCTGGCAGATTTGGTTAATTTGGTTGACCCATTTGTGAAAGGAAGTTATAATAGTTCCCGTCTTCGGTTATACATAGAAAATGCGCTATTGACTTCTTCAGACGGAAGACCAAACAGCGTTTTGTTTGCCAATCAGATGGAGGTTAACGTCTGAGCCGGAAGTATGCACACTAGCAAATACCAGCGGAAACCTGTAAAGAACCAAAAAAAGGAAGGATCGAAATTAACATAGAAGCGTAGGGGCGGCCAGGCTTACCAGGAAGCCTACGCAGCAGGGGATCTTCCACGTGCAAGTCTGTAGTCGGAACCTCTGCTGAAGTGGCATTCGGAATACTGGTGCGTTCTTGGAAGGCAACAACGTGAGGGGTTCCGGGTGTCGTCGTTGGCTGTTCGTGACTGAGTAGGGGAGAGGCAGCAGTGAACTCCGACGTTGCATCATCAGATACGATGGTGGGAGGTGAACCGACTTCAGCGCCTTTGGTTTGCGTTGTCTGGTCGATGGGCTCCTCACCGCGGGGCTCTGGAACTGGCGTGGGCGCTATCAGTGAGGTCGGAACGCTAAATGTAGTGTCCACGAGGGTGCCGTAGTGGGTAGTTCGTTCGTTATGCAGTATCTATAATTTCAGTAATGGCAGAAGGCGTCTGAATGATAGATGTAACGAGTATTTGTGGGATACTGGATTTATTTCTTTTTAACTAGTTATAGAACACGGTAGGTTGGCACACCACTTTCCGATCTCCATTTCACTGTTGGTTTTAGTTTGTTTTGTCATTCGATTTCGGTCATTGTTAGAAAGCAAGACCAGGTTTGAAATACTCCAAATTAAGCTGCCCCGTTTCTATACTATCGATCAGAGAAATTAATGTTTTGGGCACCTAACTGCAAGGCTCACATTTAAAAATTGTCGAAATTACTAGCTTCGCATTTACCTGGAGATACCAGAACGCAGGGAAAACCAGGCAAAAGTTGAACTCGTTGCAGTTGCGTAATGCAGCAAAGGGGAACATTGGCGAAACAAGTGTCTAGGCCTTAAATACCTGTGTTGGAAGTACTTGAAACTACTATAAACGCCCCTTCCACCTATGTTAATATACCCGATCGCAATTGACAGGAAGAGTTTGCTTCTCAATGGTTAGAACGTTGGACTTCTAACCAGTAGAACGCGGGTTCGAGCTTCAGGGTTCGTAGGCATAGGATTTGGCATGGCTGGCTGATGACGGCTAATAAGTCATAAGCGTTAGGGGGTTTGGCAGATTTGCTTAATTCAGTTAACCCAATTGCGAAAAAAACTCGCGGCCTCGGTGGGAGTCGAACCTACACAGCAGGAGGGTTTTGCGCAGCCAACGCTTACCATAGAGCTACGAGGCTCACCATGAGCCGTGAATTCAAATCACACTTGGGTCGATTTGCTTGCCCAGCTTTACAGCACGAATGGAATCAACCAATACGGACGCAGTAAGCTGACAGTCAGGCAGAATTTCCTAAGTAATCATTTAGGATCCACCGGACGGACGACTAGGCCGCGAATTTTTCACAATTAAGTCATAAATAGCCAGGCCAGTCTTCCTTGTCACTGTGGGGCCACCACCGGCACAAGATGTCATCAAACTATCCCATATAAGGCGATACCTGCCAATTGGCCCTACCAACTGCAATGGCGTCTCGGCTGGTCACGATGCATGCCTCGTGGAGTCGGCTGTCAACTTTACGAATCACCGGCTACGCGTTCGCAATGACCCTTTGGCTATATGTATGACGGCGATGGACAAGGGACATTGTTTAAAACAATAAATACAGAGCAGCAAACTCCTTCGCCACTGAGCGGCATTCAAGTTAGAGTACACAAGCTTATAAGGGTGTTTATAGAATTCCTAGAAACAAGACCACTTTACATTGAAATGCGCTGAAAAAGGTTGAGAATAAACAGGTCTTTTTCTAAGAAATCCACTTTCCCCTCGATTTTCCAAAAAACGCATATAAGGATTCCACAGATATCTAACTAGTATGACCACGAAAGCCGAGTCACTGGTTTTCCATGCTCTACGCGCGCGGTGGTAAGAAACTAAAGGTAAGTTTACCAAAGTAAGGAAGAGGAGGGGGAGGGAGGATGGCAGAACTGAATAATTCCTTTGGCCCAGTCTTGAAAAACTTGGCGGCCTCGGTGGGATTCGAACCGACGTCAGCACGGGGAGGGCATTAGTACGGCCAACGCTCTAACTAACTGAGCTACGAGCTTTTTTCACAATTGGGTGTACATATTGCGCGTGTAAAGATATCGAGACTGGAATAATCTCCACATAACTGTTTACTTTATTGAGGGAAATAGGCACGAGCCCTTGAGTCAAATGAATTATTCGAATTTGCCAACATCTGCCTCTCATAGTAATGTTGTGTGTCATCTGGTGGGCCCTAGATTGATTACTTAAAAAATCCTGCTTGGGCAGTTAGCCTGCTGTATCCGAATGGGTGGATTGGTAGAGTGAGCAGGTAAATCAACCCAAGTGTGGTAAAAATCAAGGCTCCCGGTAGGGGCCTCGTAGCTCAGTGGGCAAGAGCGTTGACTGAAGCTTTTCCCTTGCTAGCGAGGGTTCAATCTGCCGCCGAGTTTTTCACAACTGGATTAAATGGATTTACAGAGGTTGCTGTAAAGTTGATTTGCACGCTCCCGTGAGTTGCCGAAAGACAGTTATTCTTCTTTTCATCATTCCCGGGTGAGGAAGAAGAATAAGGGGCAATTTCTGGGGCCAAGTTGTATTCTAGCTAACCTTTCAAAAGCCTTCTCGCTTCCATAATCAGAGCGTGGTGAGTGTTCTCTTGCTGGTGTACAGTAAGTGTGTCCAACCGCTAGCCTGACGCCTGATGCCCGCGTGTCAGTCGATTTTATGGATCGATTGTTGGTGGCTGTTTGAATTGCCCGAGCCCTCACGCATATTAAGTTATCCTTCCAAAACTTACGCACGCGCGGTTTAAATAAACAAAGAGCTCGCGGTGCCGTCGTGAAAAAGAGTTCACCTGTCAGGTTAGACTGTGGGTTTTACTCAGCCAGAGGGTGGAACATATGCTAGCCTTCACATGCGCACAAACCATAACCACCTCTGAGCAAGGAAAAACTAAGACTTGCATCGACTTTGACCGAGTCCACGGCGAGGGTGAGCAGAGACA